CCAGGTCCACGTCCTCACCTCACTTAAATTGCACTGAGACGTTGTGGACCCGTCCTTAACATAAGATTTACGGTGAGGGATGACAATGCAATTCTTGGAACAGCATTTGGGAGGCTGTGGTTGCTGCTGCAGTGAAAGCCAATCAATAGCAGATGTCTAGATGACATGACAGTAACCGAAAACAGTTGCCGTATTGGTCACAGAACATTATTGAAAGGCTAAACATATTTTATTTTCATTTTATTTTGTTTGGTACAGCGACTCTAAAAAATGATAAACAAGTAAGTAGGAAAAAGTGTTTTTGTAATTTTAGTTGCCTAATAATTCTTAGCCTAACAATTGTGCACACTGTTATTTTCCTCTATGAAAAACAAAAATTCATGTTTCCTTTGTTAAAGATTCAGGTTTTGAGCTCAGCATCATTTTGGACTGACACAGGCCTTTGTATATGTTTAACAATACAATTCGACTAATAATTGTGCACACAATGTTGAAGAATAAAAGACGATAGAAAACAATTTCTTTTAACATTGGTCTTATTTTCATATTTTGAGCCATCAAATCACTCGGTTATGACACCATTTTATTCTCCAGCTGCACTGCTGAGATCCACAGACATAGTGACTCTTTCGTGCAGTTGTGTTCACTTTTAGCACATATTTTTAAATAGTTGTGTGTGGATGCTGTTTTATGCTGCAGTGCATAACAAAAATGACTGTTTTGACATCCAGATAAATAGCTTGGATACAGTTGTGTTTTATTGTTTGCTCCAATTGCAAAAATGCAAAAAACAATATACATGTAAACTAATACAAATATCAACAAACATCTGTGTTGTCCTAAACAAGATTCTCTGTTTTAGGAGTGTTCGTGCGCTCCATAATCAACAATTTAGGGAGGAATAAAAGTGAAATGGCTTCACATTTTCTATTAAGTGTACACACAATTTATGCTTATTAAAATATTTTAGAAAATATTTTCCCACGCTTGATAGTCCCTTTGCCTAATGTGAATGTTATGCACAGTGTACTGTACACAGAAGTGCAAAATAAAAACTCAACTTCCTTTATAGTAAACAACAAAAAGAAGAAAAATATCACATTCTTGTAACTTCCAGTTATATGGAAGATATGTTGGACCGTGAGATTGATGTCATGAAATCAGAATTGCCACTGCTGGATTAAAACAAAATCACATAAAATCAGCAGATGTAGGAGATCTGGTTGTAATTCATTTTGCACCGACATCTAACACTGGATATTTAGTGTTTGTTTTGAGTACATCTTCACTAGAAAAACTTTTTCAGCAACAAATCCCATTAGCTCTTCAGCCAAATCAACATTCTGATGCTCATTATGTCTGTGTACTTGTCAAAAATGTTATTGTGAATCCACTACACTCATGGAGGCCACGGTTTGACTAAAAAACAAAACAGAGCTGTGCCATTAATTAGACCTGAGAAAGGATGGCGAATCACATTGTCATTACACTGCCTCAGCATACTGCGTCTAGTAGTTTGAAATGTGGCATTAACAAAGCTGAGGCTGAATGACCCAGCTGCCTGTTATACAAGTGACAGGCAGTGAGCTAAGTTACAGTTACGGACAATCAAAAACATAATCCACAGCTGCCAAAAACACTTTGACAACTTATGCCTGCTGCCTCCTCTCCCTCCTCCTCTCTGTCACAGGCTAGATAAACTCTCTGCCTCTCCATCTCCAACCTCACCTCTCTCTCTCTCTCTCTCTCTCTCTCTCTCTCTCTGCTCCATTATAATTGCTTGCGTTTAACAGCTGAGCTTCTGAAATCCTAAGGAGCAATTGGAACGAGAAGGGAGGGCGGAGCACGCAGAAAAATAAATGCACACATCTCTGGTGGAAGCCGACTGGCACTGATGTTTAAAATAATAAGATGCAGCTGTTGATGGTAGCGACTGTCTCCAGGTCTACTTCCCTGTGGCCTCTGTGGCAGCAGAGGAGCTGTGATGAAGGCAGACAGCTGACAGGTGCTCCAGGATGGTGCTGCCATCAGGTGCATCTGCTAAACTTAACTCAGAGACAGGAGAGGAGCGACGGGGAGGGGGGATGAAGAAGGAGAAAAAATGGGAGGGAGAGTGAGTGGAGGGGGAGAAAAAGAGAGGAGTGGCCAAAAAATACAAGGAAAAGAGGGTTAAAGGAGGGGGAGAAAAAAAAAGGAAGATATAGAGTAGTGAGGAGAGAATAATTGTGTTTGTGTGCGCAGTGTGTATAATTGCGTGCTTCTTGAAACTTTATTCCAGCCCTCTCTGTAAAGAAATTCACAGGATGTCTTTGAACCTGTGAGGCTGATGGAATAGGTTTCTCACCGTCTAGACACTGACACTCTGAAGGGCTAACAAGTTTACCAAGCAGGTCAGGAGATGGGGAGACGGTGGAGGAAAGGTAAGAAGGAGTGATAATGAGCAAGTGCAGAAAGTGGTGGAATGAGGAAATGGTAGGAAATAATAAGAATTAACAAACTAATTTTAAAAATGCAAGGGAAAAGAAAAGGCAGCTTGTCAGGGAGTGTGTGTGTGTGTGTGTGTGTGTGTGTGTGTGTGTGTGTGTGTGTGTGTGTAAAATGTGTGCATGAGAAAGAGATACACAGCATATGCACTTTGCCATATGTTTATATATTACTGCATGCATCAGCACTTTGCAACTACTACACACACACACGCCTTCCAACTCTTGTCAGAAATGCAGCTCGGCTTCGAGTATACAACCGTAATGGATTCACTCTGTGTGCTGCTGTGACAGTGGTGACGCTGACGGTGTATCTGACTTTAATAAAAGGTGCGGCAGGCTCAAGTCAGGGAGCTGAGGCAGAGATTTGAACCCCCTTGAACCCCTCCCAGTGCTGGAGGAGGGTGGGGGCTCTTCATCAAAGCCAAGGCCAAGCACAGATGAAGTGTTCACTCATATCACGACTCAGTTCTGGGCTGAGCAAAAGGTGACGGGGAGTGTAGCCAAGGAGCTGATCTTCCAGCTCTTCTCCCTCTCTCGCGTGTCTTCCTCTGCCGGCAGATACACACTCAAACACGCAAATGCACAGCAGTGAGGAAGGAGAGGAGCCTGACAGAGCCCAGTGCATCGCAGGTAGCCCAACAGAGTGGCTGGGAGCGCTGTCACCAATTTGTTTCTAGCCATGGGGGACATGCAGGGGACGGAGAGGCGATGGCAGCTCCCTGTCCTCATCATGGCTAATGAGGCCTCAGCTTCTCCTTCTTACACTGTGTGTGTCTCAGTGTGTGTGTGTGAGATCGCTTTGTATAAGTTTGTGTCAGAGTGCTGCCAAAGCTCCTCTTCCTGAAAAACCGGGGTTGATATCTGGCACAGACCACCGCACACTCTTAGTTCTCCTTATACAACTCTCCTGGCTGAATTATTTACCGGGCCAAGAAACACACTCACACACACAGAAGAGATCTGGTCTTGTTCAAGGCAGCTACTATTCAATACATTGCAGCTCTTCAGGGACACCTCACCAGCTGAGGCTTGCTCGCTGTGCTGGCTGACCCATCAAACCTTCAAGGAGGGAGAGAGTGAAGGCAGGAGAAAAGAGGAGAGAGATGGCACCAGACCTGCTGTGATAAAATACAGCCAGGAATAATGAATTCTTAAGTAGAGTAAAACTGGTCAGTGTGTAATGACCTAACCCCTGAGGAAATATATCACACACCACCAGGGCAGCACTGTCTTCAAGCTATATCCAGTTGTGAGTCTGCACAATTTTTGATGTTTTGGGCATTGTCGCTAAATTTGCACACAGACTTGCCTTGTCAACACCAAACTGCCACACGGATCAACACATTTCACTCATGATGCATGAGTGATGCTGCTTGTTGTGATGTATTGATGGTGTCCATGTAGGTGTTGAAAGTACAAAGACTGAAATTAATCGAAGAGATTAGAACTGTGTGATGTGGTTGTACCAGCGGAATTAAACACAAACAGCGCTGTATTTGTAGTTCAGGAGCTCCCCAGTGTGGTAAAAAATGAGAAGTGCAACAGAGGGTGCAGCCTCTTTCCTCAATTCTCATATCCTTCTCCATGCATTAAGTGGCAAATGAATACAATTATGCCATATAATTAAATTAAAATGTGTAAAAAGTTAATTTCTCTCTCTCTTTTTTAAAAGCTCACTTCTAAATATGTTTCCACGCATAAAAATGTGTCAAACGTTTGAATCTGCAATATGTAAATAGAACCAAAGTAGCTGTGGAAGAACTTCTACGGCATTAAGAGGAGAATAAAATGTGGCGCCGCACAAGCTATGCACAAGCTTATAGGGAATCCAAATGTTTTAGATTGTTGGGTGTTTCTGCCTTTGTTAAGCGCGATGAGATGACTTGTTTTTGTAAATATGTGCTATACAAATAAAATTGAATTGAATTGAAACATTTGAAAACTTGGAACACAAGCTAGTTTGTCTCCATATAAACCTTCATAACTGCACAGATTTGTATTACAGCTTGTTTCCACTGCCCACCAAAACTATGTGACGTATATTTATTTCCATTCTTGTCAACACAGACCAACATTAATATTCATTAGGAATTGTTTCTGAACAATGTTCTGTCCTTTCAGCTCTGTTATGATCCCCACCCCTGAGGCTCACATGTTGACCAGCTAGCAGTCTGTTGTCAACAGGAGTTGCAAAACTGGACCTAAACCATACATTTACAGGCTGTAAAATCACAACTATGAGCTGAAAGAATTTGTCTTTTGTTATTATGTCAACTAATGTATGGTTATTATAAATGTTGATTTAACTAGAAAGTGGGTGAATAATATGATCAGATATGAATACGAGGTGTGTCAGAAAGGTTCCAGGACTGGTGTCACAAAAGATATATTATATACTATGAGTTTTCCCCTGGAGTCTAACACACTTTTCCAGCCTTCTTTGCCATGTCGCCATGCACTCCTGGAAGGTGGTATTTTGTAACAAAATCACATCAAATATAAAAGACAATCTCCTTTTCAATAGTTAAATACAGTCCATTTAATCAGGAAAACCTCAAAAATCAACATTCTTCATTCAAAGTTTGGGGTAAAATAAAACCAGCTCCACTCGAAGATTAACATACTTGCAGTTACTACTTGGCTAGTGACATTTGCAACATGAGGGAAAAGGTAGAAAAGAAGTAGAATGAAGGAGAGGAAATGGATAGGGGAGAAGAAGTCAGGATAGAGAGAGAGAGAGAGAGAGAGAGAGAGAGAGAAGAGTGGAGAGGCAGGAGACAGAGAGAAATTAAATATTCTGCTGATTCACATAACACCAGAACTTGGCCAAGTCAGCTGTCGGAGAACAGTGGAGGAGAGATCAGCGTTTTCCCCACTTATCCCCATGGGGAAACCCTCACAGCATAAGGAGATAAACCTGTCTACTGAAAGAGCTCAGGACCAAAACTTAAAATCCCTGATCATTCCTCTGATTGTAAATAAATATTTAATCTATTCCAGCTTTTTATTTTTATTTTTTGGAATAAAGACACAGACCCAAATACACGTGTGTTTGGTGAGCTAAATACTTCAAACTTGAATCCCACAGAAACACAGTTTCAGATATTTGATTCAGTTACAGCAGGAACTAATGTGGGAAATGTCCCATGTATTCACAAATGTAAAAAGAAATTATGTTTCTAGCAGAAAGCAGATGAGTAAGGATATGTACAGGCATTTTAATTATGACCAGTCAGGATGTATGTGGCTTCATGAGGCTGCAGAGGAGTAGAAGACGGTCATCAGGGTGTAGGTGTGGGCGGTTTAAAGAGTCCAGTTTTTCTGAAGTAACGCACAATAAGAGGCACAGACACCAGAGTGATGCTGATGCGAACAGGAGCGAAGAGCTTGTGGATGGCGTAGGCCAGGACGAATGTGCTGGTTCCTGCTGCCATTTTAGACTGAACCACTGCCTCGCTGAAGCCCACTTTGCACAGTATGGCTGCCATATCAATCCCACTGCGGAGACAAATGACACAGAAAACTGGTTAGAAGTGCCATTCACTCAATTCTTCCTCCTTACCATTTTTTTTTCAATGATTGGCACAGTCCACTACTCACAGATATTCCAGTGTGTATGTGTTTACTAGATGTCTACTATCATTGATAATACTGATCTCAAGCCTACTTCTAATTATAATAGAGTCTTTTCATAAAAGTTAAAGAAGAAGAAGAAAGAAGAAGAAAAACTAAAGGATGACAACAAACATAAATCCCATGAAATTAATAAAAATATGTTGATAAACAAACTAAAAGCGAAAAATAAAAAAGTGAAAAATTTAAAAAACTGTACATGAATTAAAAAGTCGCTGTCTTGAGAACACAATACAAATCATTTGGACATTCAGCAACCTCAACCAACCTAACAAACCACACACACTCAAAAAACACAATTTTACCAAAATATAGAATAAAAACAAGTCTTGAAGGTGTCCTTTAAATTATTATTAGTAATACTAATCTCAATTCCAACCCTAATAATAATAGAAACAATGTAGATAAATAAATTAAAAATAAGGACACAAAATTAATAAAAAATAAATATACACTTAATAAAATGTGAAATTCAGAAGTAAACCATTTTTAAAACTATTGAATAAATTAAAAAGACCATATTATAAACACAATACAATAAGCGAAATGTTTGGCAATAGAGTTCAACCATACAAAGCCCTGTGCAACTTATGAACAGCACAGTAACTTCTAATTCTGTTGAAATTTGAAATACTACAGACCACACACCTAAAACCGTAGAACACTTATATAACACAATAAAAATAAATTTTAAAATGTCCTACAAGAAAAACTTGCACTGCAATAACTATGTCGTGTCGCCTTTAGTTCTGCAGATGTGTAGTTCACATTTGTCTCCACCAGAGGGTGCCATGGCCAATGGAGAATGTTTCACAAGTTTATTTTATATAACTTTTTAAACAGACAATACCAGCATGCTGCATCACTGTCTTGGTGAGAAAGGATTTGGTTTTGAACAGTGGTGGCATTTTCAGTTGAGCTACTGAGGAAACAAATATGTAAAGAAGAAGCCTGCTTCAATCAATACAGCCTCTCTCACACATTAACAGCCCTGTTGCTCTCAGCAACTTAAGTCCGCTAAATATAATGATCCATCTGCCCCCTGACAACTGTTTACCCGGCACACAGCACTGTATTAGCAGGCCACATGCCCTAAGCACTGTCGCTGCACAGTGATAATGCTCCACGGTTGCTGGCGACAGAGTCATTTTTCAGTTCAGGGGTCATTATCAGCTATAGGAGGAAATCTCCAAGCTGTCAGATAATGTCTGCCAAGTCTCTTTGGTATTCAAGGTCCTGGTATGTGGCCAGACAGACAAGGGCTTGAAATAGTTTGTACTGACACTTTTGCCAAAAGTAAGGGTCTGCTGTATTGCTTTAGCGTCTCCCTGCCTATCACATTCAACAGACAGTGGCAAAGTGCATGGAATACAGAGTCAAAAACTTTAAATTCTGCACATAATGCACAAAAAAATTCTTACAATATGAGAAAATAAGCTTATGTTTTATTCAAGCATTCAGCGTGAATTTAGTGTCTGATTCAGTAGCATTTTAACAACAGCAGGGCCGGTGTAATGTGGCCGGCTGAGTGGGAATGTGTTGGAGCTTCTACTTTGCTGTCACCCATAGAACAGGTCCAATTTGCAGCCTGTTTGCACCAGACATTCAGTGTTCCTCAAAGTAAAAGCACTCTACTGATCTGTCATTTCCTGCACACACCTTCAGGGTTCAGGGAAATTTTGCATTCGGATGCTCTCACTCTGCTCAAATATGTCAGTAAGTGATGTCTGATGCATTCCAGCGTTGTGTTGGCATTTTATTTCTTCCCTTTTTTATCAGCCTGCTTTGGAATGCATGTGAACAATATGGATTTATTGTGTTTCTAAGGTCAACAGTGAATTTCTTGGCCTCTTTTACAAAGAATTTCTTCATTAAATTACTAAGCATTGGTACATCTGCAATGACTTCACTTAGATTTTCAAGGAACTAAACAAAATGGGGTTTTTTGTTTGTTTGTTTGTTTTTGCCTTCTATCAGGTTTTGGTGTATCTACACTTGACATATTGTAACTTTATGACAGGGAATATTTCACCTAAATTCTCGAATATCTGTTTTTTTTCCTTGAACATTTAGAATAGTCATTAAATATATCTGGGCTTTTGATTCTTAATCCAACAAAACAAGCAATGTGGGCAGTGATAAATTGTGATTCTGTTACTTCAGTC